TAGTCCACCTAATGGTAATGGGAAAACAACCTTAATCAAAACTCGCAACCCAAAAATAGTACAACAAAATAACCCCATTCAAAGAAGGATGCAGTTGGCGAAGGATACAGTTGGCATATGGATGCATCCGTAGGTGTAGAGGTAAGGTGAAATTTTATCATGGTATATAATTTTGATGTAAAATGTTCTTAGGATTATCTCAAAATCTATTTTTATATCAAATTATAAAATTTTAAATTTCAAAAATGGTTAAAATCAAATAGATCTATAGACATATGAAAATCTTAAAAATAGACAATGTAGATAATATGTTGTAAAATACAGTATTTCAGATGGATTTTTTAGGGGCATCCGTAGTTCTAGATTATAAGGTTGCATCTTTGTATAAACTTTTTCCTTCAAAGAAATAAGTGTTTGGTTTAGTGGCTTAATACAAAAAGAATATCAAAAATACCAACTAGGTGCACTATTTAATGTTTTATTCATTGCCTTGTCCTACTTTTGAAAAACTCAAATTACTAATGAAATATATTCTGAAGAGTCAACATTCAGTGGCCTACCATCTTTGAATTTTGTGTGCGTGAAAGGTTGAAAGTAGGGGTATAAAAGGAAAGGAAGGTGTGCAAATGAGAGGTGTGGTAGACTTGTGAGTGAGTGAAGACAAAATGGAGAGAGACAGAAATTGTGGAGAGGTGTTTTGTGGTTTGGGGCATGTACGTGAGTTGTACAAGGGAAAGAGCGACAATGTAGAGAGAGGTGTTTATGTGTATGTAGAGAGAGGTGTTTATGTGTATGAGTGATGATGTATTTTGTATTAGACAATTAAAAGTAATGGAAGAGTTTCTCTACCTAATCCAATTTTGTTGCTGGCTTTTTCTACCATTGGTATTAGAGCTTTCGAAAATTATTATAAGTACCAAAATACTAACATATACACTATAAAAGGTGAAGGAACAATATATAATTTTATTCTAAAATAGTTTTTAAAAAGGGATTGGATATAATGAGACTATTTATCTTTGGTACAAGAAGATCACAATTACTTACAATCGTCAGATGTGAAATCTGATAGCTTTAGTATGTCACGAAGTTCGAAAAAAATTCTCTTGAACTTTGAGCTTGGTCAATGAAATAAATGCAGCCACCCAATTTCACATCTAATGATCGAGATTAATTGTGACAACTTTGCACTAAAAATAAATGATCTTATTATATACTTTCTCTTTTAAAAAAAGATACTCAAGTCTTTTGATATCAATAAGCTCGGTCTAAGTACCGCTTAAGATATTAGTACTTGTTAAAGCCAATATCTCACAAAGACCTAGAGGGACCTTTATCAAAATACACATAAGATGAACTATTTAACATTTTACACATTTTTTTATTTAATTTCAAAATACCCATTAAACTACACATGACCAAGAATCAGAATAATTGAAGGGAAAGCTTTCTAGGCTTCCCCTAGAGCATAAAATTTATATATTTCCCCTTATTCAACCGTCCATTTTGAATGGAGGGTTAAGATTGTCTCAAACACAATGTCACGTCTCTACACTATTTTATTTTTTATTTTTTTTCTATTAAGTATTTTGACACCAAATTTTGGACGTCTAATCATCTATTAAACTCGCAATAGTGAAAAATATAAAAATAATATTTTTAATAAAATAAAATGATCAAAATACCCCTGAAAGATTCAAGGGGTATTTTGATCATTATATTTTATTGAAAAAATATTTTAAATAGTTTTTATATGTGCGCCTCAATGAGAAGATGGCACATACCAAATTTCATACTCATGCAATTTGTATAAAAAAAATTTAAAAAAAAACAATTTAAGACATCAGATCTGAGATCAAACGGTGAGTGGCTCTCTTGATCAAAATTAGACGGTTGGAAGGTAAGGGAGATCTTCTATGCTATAGGAGAAGTATAGAAACCTTCCCATAGTTGAAAAGGGATAAACAGTCAAATTCTTGGAAAGTTCGGTATATTTTGAAAAAAAAATATTTTATTTTTTTTAAATAATAGTGTTTAAAAGTACAAAACATCTGCCTATGAGGAGGTAAGGTTGGAAACGGCAGTTATGTAAGTTGGCGTGGTGTAGAGTACGCCACATGAAAAAATGGTAGCGCGTCACTTTCATCGGCCATCTCCTTCTTCTCTCAGCCGCCTCCACCCCAGCAAAGCTCTTGAGCTACTCTCTCTCTCTAGCCTCCACTCTCACAAAAAAGCAGTTTCTTTCATCCAAGGCTTTCGTTCTCACGCATTGTGGACACCTCGATCCCGATCGAATGGACAGTTAAAAAATCGAAGCAACCCAAGCCCCAAAATCCTCAAAGCCATCACCCTAATACCCATATCACCTAGCAGAGCCTTTCATAGAGACCCGACCTTAATTTCAGAGCTCTTGAAGGACCCCGGATAGGCCGAAAATGGCCCGGAGACGAGGAAAAAAATCAGAAATAGACAATCCAAGATGGAAAGGGGTTCAGTCTGAAAGCAACGCCAACAAGGTGGCACTAAGGCTAAGGAAAACCTCATTAAAGTTTCCTAACTAAAGAGTCACCATTGTCGACGGTATTCATAATAGCATTCAATGGTAGTGGCTCGAGTCACCAAACTGGCGCATCCACTGACTCCTTGGAATGCGGATGTGGAAAACATCATTTGCCCGCAACGATAGTGGTATTAGCACTAATGCCAGTCTTTGTAATGTGGATCTTTGATTAATTGAAATTGCAGCCAATTGCCCGACATTGAAATGTGCAAATTGAACTGAAAAAAAAAAAAAAATCATTATAGTTACAAGGGCAATATTGTCGTCAACACAGGCATCAGTAGCAACAATTGCCGATTGGTCAAAATCACTACCCAATGTCAGAACTCGAGATGACCGGATGGCGGCAAAAAGTAACCATCATTAGCTAAATTTCAACTAGTAGATACCAATAGTAGCGCCAACACTACTATCAATATCGTCTCCCAACTGACACACCACTGCCTAAACTCACATCAACTATAAATATCAAAGATCGTGTCTTACGCAGGCCATAATCATAGTGGAGCAACAACACTGACAGTTGCATTGAAAAGATTATCAATAGCGTTTGCAATGAACGGCCCAGATTTGATTCAAAATTCTTAACTGTGATTGAGCAAAACAAATATCTATAAAATTTTAAATGTTTAAGATCTGCACGATCTACATTATTTTTTGAGGTCAAACTAGATTTTCAAGTCTTCATAAGGGTCTTCAGCATGAGAAGTGCAGTTTTTAGTGAGATTTAGAGTTCCGCCTTGCATTTTTTCAATGGGAAAGTATATGATGAGACCATTTACCTTTTGTATGTGACACCATTAATCTTGACAATTGGATGTAAAATTGGGTGGCTGCATTTATTTCATTGACCAAGCTCAAAGTTCAAAAGAAATTTTTTCGAACTTTATGACACACCCAAACTAGCAGATTTCACAGCCGATGGTTGCAAGTAATTGTGACCTCCCTAAACTAAAGGTAAATGGTCTCATTGTATACAATCTTTTTTTCAATAGTTAACGTCAACAGCTAACCACGCAAACCCAAGCCCAAACCCGATTCCTAATATATGCTTACTTTGATTGTTCGAAGTTGAAGCCCCATAAAAACCACATGCAGTCCTAAATAATATACCTATGAATAAGATTTGATAAATTGGAAAACCAAATGTTTGATAAATTGGAAAACCAAAGACAAAAAAGGACACGGTTTCTACGAGTCCCAAGATTTATATTTAAAAATGAGTTCTCTCTTAAAAATCTATCTTCAAGATGGATTTGGACTTAATTTTTAAATAATACCATAGGTCATGAATATATAAAGTGTAAAACAAAAAAAGCTTGAAGATAATTATTTTATAAAAAATATTTAGATTGTGTCTGAGGATGCAAATATAAGAATGCATCCCCGAGGCATACAACCGTTTCCCAAAAGGGTTGGTATTGCGTCCACAACATGTGAAATCTTAAAAGGTGCACCTTTTAATAGTTCAGATTGAACCGTGCTCATCCAAGAGCTAATAATGAATCTCGTCTATTATTTTTTATTGTTTATTTATGAATAATATTAATTTGAAATTTTAGTTTTAGGTTCATTTTTATAAGAAAGATTGAATAAAATTAATAAAAAATATTTTAAATTAAAGATGTTGACCAAAATAAATTTAGCGGTATTTTAGCAATTTTTATTTAAAATTTTTTTAATCATTTTATGGGTTAGGTTAGGTTGCTCAAACTATAGAGCATTTTATAACTTTATTCAACAAATTTTGGACATTTATAGATTAAGTTAGGTTAAATGCAATATTTATAAGAAGCATTGGATAGATAAAAGAGCAGAGATAAAAGAGCAGAGAAACGCATCACGTATGGAATAATTGTTATTATCTACCCTTTTAATAAATGATTTATAAAAATACATAAATGCAAGCACAATATATAAATAAACAATAATCAGGATAAAAAACAAAATGAATAAATCATTATAATTTTTATCATACAACCAAATCTACCGGTTTGACTTTGATCATAATATAATTAAGAGTTACAACCCTTCTACCGTTCCACCTGATGTATGTATGGATAGGAGTGGCAGCAGGTCGAGTCCAGTTCCGACCCGAGAAAAATGATGGGGAACCTAGACGTAGACCCGAATTTGAGTACGAACCCGACCAGACCCATCGAGTTCAATTTTTGGACCCAACTACCCTCGGGTGCGGGTCTATTGCGAGCCCTACGTACGTTTTCTTCCCAACAAAAACCAAAAGGTCAATGGCTGCCGCTTGCCGTTTATGTGAAAAGCAATTTGTAGTTTAAAGACATGGACGCGTGCGTCATGAAAACAGCCAATTCACCCTCCCTCTCAAATCAATTTTTACATCAATTATTCTCTTTTTTCTTTGGCATCTTCCTTTCGTCAAAATTTACAAATTTTTGTGAATGGGACCTTAGACTTTTGAAACCAGCCGTACGGCCGCCGGTTAAACCTGTTTGTGACCGGCTGAATTCCCCCACCTCTTTCCGTGGGCGCCAATTCTCCCCTCTTTCTCTCTCTAAATCTCTCTCCCTCTCTTTTATCGCAGAGGATAAAAGGGAGATCAGTTATGCGGAGGTTCGCCATTGATCGAAGAACCAGAGCGACTGCGGTCAACTCTTTGCGTCGCTCTCTCTGTGGAGGTTTCTCTTCCTTTTCTTACTCTCATCCTTATTCATCCTCCGCTAATTCAGCCATGGGTGGACCTGCTGCTGCTTCTTCTCCATCGCCTTCGCCTTCGCCTTCGCCTTCTTCTTCTTCTATGAATGGACCTGCTAGTCCTGTATCGCTGCAGAACATTAATCCCAAGGTATCGAACCTCGTTTGAACGCACTAATCTCGAACTCACTTCGTGGCTCCTTTTGTGCGCTCTCTCTCTCTGATCCCTGTGTTTCTGTTTTTTTTCCTTTTTCTTTTTTTTGGAATTTGGATTTGTTTTTGCTCGAATCTGCTTTGCTTTTTCTGCGCTTTTTCTTTTTGAATTTTTTTTTTGTGTCGATTGGGGTCGGTTTTTTCTCTTTTTGGCTATTTTTCTTCATTGGAATTTTTGATCTGGTGAGTAATCAATTTTCTTAATACCCTTGCTATCGTTGTTATCAATATTTATATTTGTTGCTTGAATGAAATGCTCCGGTGGATGTAATCTGTAATGTTTGTTGTCGAGATTGACAATTTCAATATTTTAAATATTGTATGTTGAGATAAGTTAGGGCTTTTGTGAGCATTATACAGCCAAAATCGATGAAATTGTGCATTGAAGTATTTGTAATTTCGATTCAAATTCATGTGGGGAAAACTCTTGCTTTCTGGTATTTAAGTAAAAAAACAGAAGAAGAAAAATGACTCTTTCTTGTTGGTTGGTATCAGACCTACTTTTATAATTGATGCAGGTACTCTGTTGAATTTTTTTAGCTTTAAGAATATGGGCTCTTCGATTTGGATAAAAAAAAACTGATATTTATAATGGTTTTGAGCTTAGGAAGATTAATTGGTATGCGGGGCTTGCTTTATGGGCTGCTTCCACTTTTTTAGTGCTTTTACATAACTTTCTTGGTGTAAAATCTGATTGCATTCAAGGCAGCAAACATCTTCCTTGTGTTTTCTGAACACCTGCTGTTTAATTTATTCGTTTTTGTTCTCGGAAGATCGATTTTAAATGATCTCTCAACCAGAACTTTCTAATTCCTATTCATTTAGAAGGTCACGCAGTATATAGGCCAAAAACATGATATTTCTTGAGCATGCATGTGGTCAAGATTGAAACATTACACACCCCTGCTGTGTTCTTCCACATATTCTTTGAAGAGAACATGCTTCATGATTCACCTAATTCCCTTTTGATTTCTATATTTGGCCAAATGCTTTCTTTTCACAGGATAAGTATCTGTGTTTTAAATAAGCACGGATTTTCTTGTTTATAAAATGCATGTATTTGGCTTATCAGGATTGACACCCATCTTTGACTCTGATATGCATGATATGTATACCCTGAATATTCTTAGACCTTTATTTTATTGAATTAGATTTTTGAAAAAAAATCTTTATATGTAACAACTTGCAGTTTATATCCTTCATGTTCCATTACTTTTAGTTCATGCTTGGTTATCTATGGCTATTGAAATCATTATTTTGATCAACCCTTTTTCTTCCTCAGGTGTTGAAATGTGAGTATGCTGTCCGTGGTCCAATTGTTACCCATGCACAGGTACTACTTTCTTAAGTAATGGCCACGATTATCTCTATCAATATTTTGAAAATAAAGTCGTGAATGACCTCTCGTTTTCTTTACAATCTAGCAGTTAAGTGTTTTGTAGAGAAAACAAAACAGGATTCATATGGAAGAATGGCGGTATATATTTTGCAGTGACCTGCTTGTGAGCAGTTGTCTGTATTTGACACTGATGCCCCAAACTATTCAGTTTTACTAGTTCGATGAGGTTTTGTTCTGAGTCTTAGATGAACACTCAATAATAACGACTTTTTGGTGTACTCCAACATACATGATGAAGAAATGTACCAAAGTTCGACAATTATTGTCATTATGTGGGTGTGTCACCAGTTAGTCAACTCTTCTCAAAAAAAAAGAAACTTGTTTGTTTTATGAAAAAAAAGAAAAAATTGGCTCACAAAATGAAAGAATTGAGCGAGACATTTGTTTGAAATTTAAAGATATGATGGAACCATGAAATCAGATTCATCTGTGATGTCAATTAAATCTATTATGGGTGTTACAATAGACCTCTACAATTTTTCATTTTAAGATGGTAGTCACATTGATTGCTGCTCTTTCTCATACATCAAATTTGATAAACCATTCACCGAAGTCCTAAGATTTCTAATCACGTCAAGGGCACCATCCTAGCACTACAGAAATCCATGATCCTTCTAATGAAGGCAATCTCTCTCAACATTGCACACAAAATAATGAAAATCTAAATTATCCATCGTTTGTTAAAGGCTATTTGAGCCTCGACTAGCAAATGAAATTGCCTTACCCAAGGGATCTTCATTACATGCCATGATGCTGCCTGTCATCCCTGTCAACTCATTTCATGTCAAACAGGGCGGCAGGCCTTCAAAAGCTAATATTAGACTGATAGGGGTTGCATGACTCTTAGCACTGATTAGTAAGAATTCAGGATGTTCTGCTCCTGCATGACTACGGAATTGTGGGTTCAACTTTCAAGAACCGTGGAATGTTTGTTTGTTCTGGAGGAAGTTTTACAGTTCACAGCAGGTAAGTTTATATGTTTTCTTACCTATAACAATAAAAATTATGGCGATACCGATGGCCAAATATGCACAATAGTTCTGGATATCACCCTTCCAGTTATTTCTGCCTTTATAGTTGAGAGAATTTACACAATCCCTTATTAATTTCTGTTATTAAAATGTATGCAGATAAGGGTTTTCCTTAAAACTTTGTGGACAGGAGGTCTTTTGATTGCCTAATTATTTTTCTATTTCAGGATGTAACTGTAGTAGTTAACAGATTAGGGTTTTTCAACTCGGTCTATTTTACCAACTCATCAGACTTACTGTAACTACCACTGTCACATTTACATGCTATGGAAAACGATGATTATGGATAATATTTAAAGCAATGTTATTGTTAAGAATTGTGTGTATTCGAGCTTCATGCATATTTTTCTGTTGTATTCTAAGAGGCCTTGTTTGTAACTATTAATTTGTCGAAATACATTTTAATTTCTCTATATTGTATTATAATCTCTCATGTCTGGTTTGCAGCGACTACAAGAGCAATTACAAACAGATCCATCCTCTCTTCCATTTGAGGAGGTGTGTTTCCTTATCTATTGATTTAGATATTGTGGTTTTCATGCTTTTATTCTTGTGCACAGGCTTGTTGATATGACCCACTGATTAATTGCACATTTTTTTTCTTTTTTTTTTGGGATTTACACTAAATGGTTATTTAGTTGATGTCGGTGCCTATATTTCTATGGATGTCTCAGCTTGGAACTTCAAAAGCTTTGATTATTCTCTATATATTAGTGGTAGCTAATAAAGCAGGAATTTCAAAAGCTTTGTTTATTCTCTATAAGTGTTTTGATGGAATCTCCAGAAATGTCACTGATTTAGATTGGTTGCAGGCAGGCATGTAAATAGCATTTCTCTGCACGATAATTGCTTTTTGTCCTTAATTACATTAGATATTTTGCATATGAGACATCTTAAACAGCTGTGCTTTTATTTTGCAGATACTTTACTGCAACATTGGTAATCCACAATCTTTAGCCCAGCAGCCGATCACTTTCTTCCGTGAGGTTGTTATCTACAAACTCTAGAAATTGGCAAATTTTACTTCGAGGTAGTTTGTCAATTGTGTCCCTTATTTATCTTATCCTCTCTCACAGGTTCTCGCTTTATGTGATCATCCCTCAATCTTGGATAGACAAGAGACACATGGCTTGTTCAGGTACATGACCACTCTAGATGGGTAAAATTACAGTTGAACTTGATGTGGGCATGTGTATGGGTTCAGGTGTGTGCATGATTATGCCTATGCATGCATGTGCATGACTAATCTGATTGCTATTGTCATATAACTACATTAACTTGATTTCATGGAAATTTATAAAGTCCTAGTATAAATAAGATGAACCCTGATTTTGCCATTAAGATGAGAAAAATTGTTCGATATTATAATAGACTAGAAATTTTATATTTTTGGGACGGTCTCAATACTTTGCAAAACTCAAAAGACGTTTAGAGATAAGTGTCACGGCCTTAGACTGAAGCCCCACACTTCCGATCGTGCGGCACTCGTTCCTTGGTCCGTTAAGGACAGGTCAACCTTCCCACACTGGCACAACCATCCACCGACCTAGTCTAGTACTAGTGCGCACCACCCACACACTAGTCTAATCCACGTGTATGCACCACGCACACAATACAAACCAAACCAACCAGGAGAGGGACATGAGAGTTTGGCCAAAAGCTTTATCAATCGACCAACCAAAGAGTGCCTTGCAATAGTATATATACCTCACACCTCTGAGGTCTTACGCCTTTACCCAGTTCCACACCTTTTCCAGGTTGAGTTAACAAATAAGGGGTCCTTCCCCTTTTATAGGCTCAAGGCCTCACAACTGACAGTTGGGATTGGCGCACATATCATGCATCGAACATCTTGGAAACCTCTAGCCATTACAATGCTTCTAGAGTATTCTACACAAGCCAGCCTCTAAGACTCATCTAGAATCCTACTAGAACCCTCATGACTGTGCTAGAGTTCTTTAGAACCTTCCGGGCCCAAATGTTACAAAGAATGGGCTTAAGTGCCTAGTTTTCCAGGAACTGCTAGCACAAGGCATAGCAAATTTCTGGGGCATGACATTCTCCCCCACCCAATCCTGCGATGCCCTCGTCGCAGTCTTTCCATGCTGAATCCTCGACCATGGGTAGCCTCCACACTCGTGCGTTCTCCCATCTTGCCTTCCTGACGGTCAATCTACGCCTGGCCTCATACCCACGACATGACCTCGTCCGGGCACCTCTTGGTCGGTGGTTTGCCTCAGCCAGGCGCCTTGGTCATCTTCTCCCGTTCGTGCCTGGTGTTCCACCTATTCATGCTAAACCAACCACCTTTCATTTGAGTTGTTTTTCATTTGAGTCGTTCCCTTCCTTACCTGCTTGCCATAGGCAGTCTCTAGCTTGGGTGCTTCCTGGACCCTTGGAGGCACCTCTTCCTTACCTTTATGAGGCAGCTTCACCACCATGGTGAGCTGCATAGCCGACGGAGGCTTTGCCAACCGTCTTGGCGCCTTGCACCACAGGCACCATGCAAGGTCTGCCTTCCATGATGCACACCGAGTTTGCAAAAGGCATGGGCACCACCTTTGCCCTGCTCAGGAAGTCCATCCCCAAGACTACTTGATAGTCATCCAAGGGCACTATGGACAGATCGACCTTGCCACTCCATGGGCCAAGGTGTATGTCCACCCCTCGAGCCGTGCCATGGTTGGGTTTGGCCTCTGAGTTTGCTGCTTTGCCCATCCTGTCTCCTTGGCAAACCGCAAACCAAGCCGGTTCGCCTCATCCTTGGAGACAAAATTATGTGTCGCTCCTGTGTCAATCATTGCCTTCGTGGCCTTTCCATTGATTTGGGCATCTACATACATGAGACTCTTGCTTGGGCCCTTGGGTTTCCTTGTCTCAGCCTTCATCCCATTGAAGAGTTGTATTGGCCTGAGTCTCTGAGTGTCATCCTTAGGGTCTTCCATCTCAGCTATTAGAGCATTAAGATCCTTCCTTTTGGGGCAATCCCATGCCCAATGTGGCCCATTTCATATAAAGCACTCTACATTTGTGCATTGTCCATATTCACCTTGGGGCAATCTCGTATATGGTGTGCTCGCTTTCACACATTGCAATAGTGTTTGACCACGGGCCACATCATGTTGGCCCTTGTCACTTCGACCTTCCCTGCCTCCCTTCCAACCTAGGGGCTCAGCAGGTTCTTCCTTGTGGCTCCTCCACCCTAAGGGTTTGCCACGCCCTCCCCTTGGGCTAAAGGCCTCATCATGGTCTCCCCCACCATTGCATCATCATCCTTAGAGTGTTGTTGCCTTGAGGGACTCTCTCCCCTATACTCAACTAGCTGCTCAGCCATCGCCATCGCTTATGCTAAGTCTTACACCCCGAGTCTTTTAAGTTCCTGTTCAGCCCAGGTTTGCAAGTCATCCATGAAGCTGAAGAACAGGTCCTTCTCGGCCATATCAAGGATTTCCAACATGAGGGTCGAGAATTCCTTTACATAGTCCCGTATCGACCTTGTGTGCCTTAACTGCTTAAGGTTCTTACGGGCCAAGTATTCCATGTTCTGATATCGACCTTGTGTGCCTTAACTGCCTTTTGATTTCCCTTTTGAAGTCATGCCACGAGTTGATGGTGCAGCTATCGCGTTCCATGTCAGCATGGCGCCTCCGCCCCACAAAGTTGCTACATCCGTAAGGTACATCATGGCGGTATGCACCGTGGCCCTTTTGTCCACCAAGGACATGGCCTTGAAGTATCTCTTTATTTGCCACAAGAAATTATCCAACTCTCTAGCATCCCTAGACCCATTGAAAGTTTTGGGTTCAAGCACACGTACCTTAGGGACATCGTGACCAAGACCCCATTGCTCACAGCTCTTGTACAAAGAGTCAGGTCGCCCTTCAGTTCTTCCACTTGATCCTACAACTTGGACAACATAGCCATCACCTTGTCCTCAAAAGCCACCCTCTCCGTCTGATTTGTATCCATCGCCTCATTGAGGGTCAATAACATCCCCTTCCTAAGTTCCTCAAGTCTAGCCTCGAGTCCCTCTATTCTCAGACCGTTCTCCCCAAATCGGTCTTTCTCATCGCCCATGGCCATCTCAAGCCATGCCACCCTCTTCTCCATGGCAGCCAAAGGGTCTTGAGACTTCCCCCTGTTCGTCTTGCCGCCCTGACCTTACCCACAAGTTAAGTCACCCTGGGTTTCCTCAGGAGTCATGGTCGCCCCTTACTTAGCCCAGAGCTAGTAGTCCATAAGTAGTTGCCAACACAAGATGTTGCTCCCACGAGCAAGCCTCCTGGTTCCCTCGAACCTTTGCTCTGATACCACTTGTCACGGCCTTAGACTAAAGCCCCACGCTTCCGACTATGCGGCACTCATTCCTTGGTCTGTTAAGGACGAGTCAACCTTCCCACACTAGCACAACCGTGCACCAACCTAGTCTAGCACTAGTGTGCACCACCCACACAATAGAAACCAAACCAACCAAGAGAGGGACACGAGTTTGGCCAAAGGCCTTACCAATCCACTAACCAAAGAATGCATTGCAATAGTATGCCTCTGAGGTCTTACACCCTTACCTAGTCCACACCTTCTCGAGGTTCAGTTACAAATAAGGGGTCCTCCCCCTTTTGTAGGCTCAAGGCCTTACAATTGACGGTTAGGATTAAGCCACATGTCATACATCCAACTGCTTGGAACCCTCGAACCCTTACAATATTTCTAGAGTATTCTACACAAGCCAGCCTTTAGGACTCATCTAGAACCCTACTAGAACCCTCATGAATGTCCTAGAGTTCTCTAGAACCTTCCGGGCCCAAATGTTACAAAGAATGGGTCTAAGTGCCTAGTTTTCCAGGAATTGCTAGCACAAGGCATAGCAAATTTCTGGGGCATGACATGAGGCTTGCAACGAGCCAGGCCACATAATGCCTAGAAAAACTAGGGCATGGGCCACATAAAGTGGCCAGAGGGCCAGACCACTACCATCAATGCTTGGGCCTAGGCCTGTTCCGGCTGGCCAGGCTAGGACCGGCGCTATAGGCACTTGTGCCCAGGCCATGCCCGTTACGCCCTATTTAGAGATTGCTTTGGACACTAATTCATTAGGTACCGCAAGAAGTGTGTGAAACTCCCCTTTTCCATCAAAAAATTCAAGATTTTCTATCTAGTATGGAAACTACCCTTGATACAAATATACGATGGGTGAAGATAGTCATTTTCTAGTATTTGATGAGAGTTTTATCCCATGATAAACTGCCATGTTTTACATTGAAGTTGTGTAGGATAGGTTTTTCTGTCTTAATTTCTGAAGATGTCTGTCTTGACCTTATGATACGGGGATACAAGCACAATTCATTGCTACAATATCGGGATTTTATTCTTGTGCATATATTAAAGTTACCATTCTTGTGGTTGTGCATTAATTTTTGTTTTGAATTGGGCTCATTTTCATATTTTTGAACGATTTTCTTTATCTATCTTTTGAAGTGCCGATGCCATAGATAGAGCCTGGAAAATTCTGGAACAGATTCCAGGCAGAGCTACAGGTGCATATAGTCACAGCCAGGTATTACAAAAACAAATTGCAATAGTTACCGTTAATTTTCTAACTTGGACAATTTATCTAGTGCTTCGCATTTATCATTGTGGATATAAATGTCAGGCGTTTTACTTTGCATAGGGTATCAAAGGTTTACGTGACACAATTGCAGCTGGAATTGCTGAACGTGATGGCTTTCCTGCCAATTCAGATGACATTTTCTTGACCGATGGAGCAAGCCCTGGGGTATGTGATATAAATGTCTGCATAGTACATACCTAATCCCAATGGAGAAGTAGAATCAATGTAACAGCCACCACCCATTCCCAATGATGAAAGTTGGAGATTAACTGAACCTGGGGGATCGCTTGGGTCGGCCCCACTACTGTTAATCAGCACTGTTCATCAGTAGGAAAGGATGGTGGATGCCCTAGTGAGGTGTGAGGTATCCATACTCCATAGTGCTATTGCTATACCGGCCATTAGAAAGTTTGTTCTTTCTAGTTTCTGCGGTAAGCATTTCTCGTAGCTAACGTATTTGATCTTTATTTGTCATTCACAGGTCCATATGATGATGCAGTTGCTTTTGAGGTCCGAGAAGGATGGCATCCTTTGTCCCATTCCTCAATACCCTTTATACTCAGCATCCATTGCCCTGCATGGTGGTACTTTGGTATGCACCTCATGTCTCCTGGTTTGATGATTTAAGGTTGTTTTGTGCATTTTATTGATCCATAAGCGCACTTGAATAAATCTTTCTGCACCAACTGATGGGCCCCCTTGAATAAATCTGGTGGAGCCCTTGAACTTAACCACGTGGTTTGCACCAACTCAAAGGGCTACACCAGTGGCAAGAACTCAGTTTTTTGGGTAGATTGGTCCTGGCATTATACTAGAATGTCCAGTTCAATTCAGTATTGAATTTTTCTTTTTTGGGGGGGATGTTCCCTTTCTGGATTTTCATTCTGTTTTTGGAGGAAATAAAAAGCTAGACAATAAATTGATGCACAAACTCCTTAACTCAAAGTAAAGCATACCAAACAGGGTATAGGGGTGGACTTTTTTGTAGAAAATTTAATCTTTGATTTTCCCTTTGGCGTTCTGTCAATAACTATTTGGGCTTGTTTTCTTCATTGCCTTCAACATCCTACATAAGGATCTGGGGCTTAGGCATGTGGTATTTACAATTGTCTTATAATGTGTAGGGTATCTCAGATTTTACCATTTGGGAGTTGATTGTCTCTAAAAGGACATTGGCTTTTCATTTGTTAGATGAGGTTCAGTTTCATGATTGATTTGTGCAAGTCCAAAATGTTAAGGACGCAGTTAGCATGTGGCCAGCCTGCATATTGTAGAAATGCAGCTTGGCAATAAATATATTTTTTAATCCTAAATTTTAGAGAATATATAATCTTTTAACAGGAGATCATGAACATAAAAAATAAATAAATTTTGAAAACTAGAAATAATAATTATATTAAGAAAGCATTTGGACCGTTAGTTACAATTGTTTTTAGATGGACCACCTATTTGCATACATCTTTAAGATGGATGCTTTATACCTCTGGACCGCATATTTTAGAAATGTGGTCCAGCTCGCATGAAATAATTGTTCAAATACAAAAATAGAAGGCAATTATGATATGAGGAACTTGGGCTTGTTTGATGTATAGGTACCTTACTATCTGGATGAAGCAACTGGGTGGGGATTAGAGATTTCAGAGGTCAAGAAACAATTGGAGGAAGCTAAGTCCAAAGGCATTACTGTTAGGGCTTTGGTTGTGATAAATCCGGGCAATCCAACCGGGCAGGTGAGTTCGAGTATTTTTTTAGTTATGAAAGCTATAATATACTGTGTGCTAGACGATTGGTTAGGATAGACAGTTTTGTTTCACTTTATGAAATTGGATCTACATTTAATTGTAAAGGGAAGTCTCTGTTTATTGCCTAATTTTTATTGGATCTTTCATCATTGAAATGTATTAAGCAATATAAAAAGAATTAGATTCCAATGTTTTTTTTCAATGAAGTAATTATAAGGAAAAGAAAGTGAGCAATTCACTTGTAAACAACTGGAGAAAAAATATGAAAGAAAAAAGGAAAAGGAGATGCATTTTTCAATGTGGAATCTCTGTTTGTCATGCAGTTTCTGTGGCCATAAAATCCTCTATACTTCTCTGCTTTTTGTGGGGTTATGACTGAAACAAGATTGTTAAAATGTTCTTATTTTACCTATAGGTTCTCGCAGAGGCTAATCAACGAGAAATTGTTGAATTTTGCCATAAAGAAGGTCTTGTTCTTCTTGCAGATGAGGTAAGAGCTATACTCATCTCCTGGAGTGTAAAAAATTCGCAATCATCATCTGGTCATCATTAGGTTCCCAATAAATCCCAGTTGTCTCGGTTCGTATATTACTTTTGATTTTACCATTTTTCATTGCTGGATATCACAGGTGTACCAGGAAAATATTTATGTAGATGATAAAAAATTCGATTCTTTCAAGAAGATCTCTAGATCAATGGGATATGGAGAAGAAGACATTGCTTTGGTGTCTTTTCAGTCAGTTTCTAAAGGTATGTGTATAGTGATCGTTACAAAAATGCTTCGCATTTTCAATGGGATAGAACGTTAGATAACTCCTATTGAAAATGTTCATGGTGATGAAACAATCGGCATGAAAACTTTCAATCCTACTTCACAATGATTTAAGCACTCTTGCAAGATTACAAACTTTTTTGAGTAATTTTCGACTTTGGTCTTTGGTACTTATGAATTTATGCATTTCTAGCCATCTGAAAAAACAATGGTTAAGAAATACTGGTGTACTTGTGCCACAGGAATCAGTAAAGAATTACCATTTCTTCATTGAATAAATAAGATTTTATAGACCAAACCCAAACCACCACCACCCCCCCTCCTCCCCACCCTTCTCTCTCTCTCTC